TATTTGAACTAAGTATTAAAAGAAATTCTAAGAGGTAGGGATAAGGATAAGGTGCATTCCAGGCATAAAGGACAGGGTACCAACAATGAGTGGGGTGGAGGAATAGCAATAAGGCCAGTTTAGTTAGACAATAGAGTGAGGCAAAGAGCATAATGTATAGCAAGACTGGAAAGGTAGGTTGAGGGCTTTCTATGCTAAACAGAGGGTATAAGATGCCATGTGATAAAATGTGGGAACAGTGCTTGACTTGGAGTTAGGAAGACTTATGTTTGAATGCAGCCTCTGTTATGTCACTTAACATCCATGAGTCTTAGTTTCCTTATCTGTTAAATGGGCATAATAATAGTTGTGGTATTTACCTCATGGGTTAGTTGTGAAAATTAAATGAGATGATATATGGATAGCACTTTGCAACCTTAAAATGTGATATAAATGTCAACTATAATTATTTTTATGGTATTAAGGGTGACCAACAGATTTCTTGTTGCTTGAGTTTCCAGATAATGTAGATGTGCTCTGAGTACATTCAATTGGTCTGGACCATGACAGGGTACATTGCCCTTTCTCCCTCTCCCCACTCAGGTAGTGCTGCTCGGGATTTATATGTAGCATTTACAGCAAGTAGTTTTTCCCCTCATATTGTATGATTATATTTAGCAATCATTCATTTTTGAGGCCTCCACAAAAAGTACACTTCTGATGTCTCTTCATGACCTAGAGGAGACTCTGGGTTCATAAAGATTACCGAATCAGAGCACAATTTCAGGCAAGTTCTATCATATTAGTAAAGGTTTTGTGTATGACTGTGGCAACAGACCATGCCCACTTCCTAAGGACTATGGAAAGTATAGAAAGTATGGAAAGATAATGCCTTCTTGTGCAATACAGTATTAAAAATTTTTTTTAGTATATTTCCATACGTAATGCCTTTAATGTAGACGTAAGGTACAAATTCATTTTGTTAGACATCATGCCTATTTTGCAGATGAGGCAATTGAGGTATATTTAGATAACTTGTCCAAGCTCACAGAGCAAGTTCATAGCAAAGTAGGACCTCTTACTCTTAGGAGTTCCTCCTATTAGATCACATCCCCTTCAAAATATATATAACATGTTAATAGTGGGAATTATGACCATTCTCAATGTATCGTGAAACCACCTGACTTCTCAATTGGTAGTTTTGGATTCATAGAAATTTTTTCCTCCTAGAAATTCAGAAAACTCAGTTACAATGCATTGAGAACATAAACTTCAACTTATAACAGAAAATATGACAGCAACTATTGAAACATTTTCTAAATTTAGATTATAATTTAACTTTTGGACTTCTAATAATTCTGAGATGTCATAAAAAATTAGAAGCCAAGCAAAAAAAGAATGTCATACTGGAATGCATTTTAAAATAAAAGTTACTAGAATTGATTAGACATGGTCTTATACATTGAAATATTTTTATTTAAAAAGGAATAAAATTGTACCAGTTGCCAATTATTTAATCTGAATCAATTATAATAAATTACATATCAAGACCAACAAATAAGTACGATACAAAATAATTAGGCTTTAGAAGGACACAAAAAATGCTAATTAATATCCCAAATGATCACAGATTCTTAGATTTAGAACTGGGAAGGGGACCTTTGAGGTCACTTAATCCAACCACCATTTTTGCTGATGAGGAAATTTAGACCTAGAGATTTTAAGTGTCTTACTTAGCATAGTGTCCAGCACATAGTAGGCATTTTGTAAATGTTCCTTTCCTTTTCCCCTTCCCTTCCCTTCTTCCTGAGGATCACAAAACTCGTTAGTGTCTGAGGCCAGATTTGAACCCAAGTCTTCCTGATTCCAGTTCAAATACTATATTCACTATACCACAGTTTCTCTTGGGAGTTATTAGAGTTGGTGTTCAAGAGAGGCTTTGTGGAGGAATTGTCAGTTGAGATAGACCTTAAAGGCTGAGTAAAAATTGGATAGGTAAAAAGGGAAGGAGGACATTTAAGTCATAGGGAATGATGTAAGCAAAGGCATGGAGGTGGAAAGTGTAGCATGTATTCACTGAATTCTGAAACGTGTGGAGAAATATGCAATGAGGCTGACAAGAAAGAGTGTGGAGCAGGCTGATGGTTCTTGCATGCAGAGGCAGGAGGCTGAAACTTTCCTTATTAGGCCAGGTACACATAAGGAAGTCTGATAGTAGTAGGAAGGGTTATTTGGAGTTGGCAGGATGAGTTGTTAGGAGCCTAGTATAATATTCCAGGCTGGTGATTATTAGAATCTGTATCAAGTGGTGGTAGTGGAATTTAAAAAGTGGAGACAGCTGTTGCATGCCTGTGTGATACACATGTGGATGTTCTGAAAACTGGAGATGCAGACAGAAAGTTCAGAACTGGAGACAGAGATTGAAAAGTCATCTGCATGGAGGTGGTAGTGGAAGCCACTGAAATGAATGAGACTGACAAGGGACAGAGTGTAAAGAGGGGAAGAGGCCTGAAGACCAACTATTAGGGAACATCCACCTTGAAAAAGACTCTCAGCAAAAGTTGGTGACAAATCCCATTTCTAGTTTCACTCCTGGACGCGTCTAGGAGGAACAATAAATAAGGGAAGGGATCAGTGGAAAAGAAGAAGCATTTATATGCTGCTCACTGTGTGCCAGGCTCTGTGCTAAGCACTTCACAAAATACCTCGTTTGATCCTCACAGCAACCCTGTGAGGCAGGTGCTGTTGTTATCCCCAATTTTACAGTTGAAGAAACTGAGGCAAAAAGAAGTTACGTGACTTGCACAGAGTCATACAGCTAGATCTGAATGTGCCTTTCTGACTCCAGGCCCATTGTGCCACCTACCTGCCTCAAAGAAAAGAAAGCCACAGGACACATATTTCTGCCTAGTTAAGACTTGGGGACCCTTTCACGTGTGAAGTAATAACCATTACACTACAGGAACCACCTCCAAAATAGATTCTGGAATTACATTTATTTTGTTGAATCGTAGAATTGAAGTTCACAGGCACCTTTCTAGCCCAAACCCATCACTTGGAAAAATGAGAAAATTCAGGCCCACAGTGGTTAAGTGGCTTGTCCGTAGTCATACAAGAAGAAGGCAGCAGGGCTGGGATTCAAAACCAGGTCTTTTCTTTTCACATCAAATATTCTTTTCACTGCCAATCCTTTCTTGACATGTGTGTGGGCTTGGGGAGGGAGAGAGAGAGAGAGCTATGAGTTATGCAGGCTCAGAAATTTCATTTCTCTATATAACTCTTTGTTAAGATGCTCACCAACAACCCTGGGGTTCCATTGAATTTCTCTGGAAGATTAATTGGTCACTTAATGTGTACGAGTATAGGGATAGCTCTCCTTGAGTTCTCCTTGATGGTCTATTCAAAAACCTAGTGTTTTCCTCTGTTAATCCCAGAATTTGCAGTATCAAAGGACTGAGAAATCGCGTAGTGTAAGGAACCTCCCTTGCCTCTAAAGTTGGTGGTCTCTAATTGCTGAGTGAATTGCCTCTGGAAAGGGGCGATCTTGGTTTCCCATCATTGAAGTTGGATGCTCAACACCTGAGGCTTCATTGATTGTATTTCTATCATCCTTATGTGGGGAGGCAGTGTGGTATAATGGAAAGACTGTTGAATTTGGATTCAGAAGAAACCTGGGTTTGAATCTCACTTCTGACGCTTACCAGCTGTGTAACCATTGACAGGTCATTTACTTGACAGGTTAATCTCTTTGTATTTGGGAGCATCTTTTTTTTTTAATTTCAGTCCAATGACCACGTACTCAATGTTAGAAACATGTTTATCTAAGGTCCCAATAAACGAGAACTGACACTTTGACTTAAAATATCATTCATGAGATGGAAATGACATAAATGTTTGACAAAATGAGGTAGTAATTGATTCTTCAGAAGAAGTAAAGAATGACACATAAATCTTACTATGGCCATAGTCAATCATTTGGTTTGTGGTGTTTTTTTTCTGTATAAAAAGGGAATAATACTTTTAAAATAATAATTTAATTCAGATAGGTGTTGTGGGACTGGGTTGGTGCTTAGCAAATCTGTTCAAAGAATGAATGATGTGATTTTCTTGATAATATTTTTATTTTTTTATTCTGCATTTTAACATGATAACATTTTAGTATCATGAAAGCCTAACAAAATATTGACTATATATACACTTGTGAATATGTATATGCATGTATATACGCACATGCACATGCACACGCAAAGGCAAGCATTTAATACAGGGTGTCCCAAAAGTTTTGGTTCCGTTTAAAACTTTGGGAACATATTGTATGTATACATGTATGTATTGTGAATTTATGCAGGTATGCATATAAGTATCCAATGCTTTCCATAAATTGGGATAATTGAGATCTGATTATATCAGTATTTTCGAGGAAGGGGTAACATTTTGTAAGAAAAGGAAACAAATGTGATTATCCCTTTTCTACATCTCCCACTTTGAATAACATATTTTGTAGGTCAGCCTTTATTATTAGGCCTGCCTAATAATAAACCTTTTTTACTGCTGTCTTAAAGTTTCATTAATGTTATGTTAATATGTTCACTCAGTGTTTTGCATAACTGCACATGTATAACCTGTATTGAGTTGCTTGGCTTTTCAATGAGGGTGGGTGGGGAGGGAGGAAGGGAGAAAATTTGGAACCCAAAGTATTAAAAACACATGTTTAAAAAATGTTTTCACATGCCACTGGGAAATAAGAAATATAGGAAATGGGGTACAGAAATCCATCCTGCCCTACAGGAAAATAGAAGGGGAAGGGGATAAGAGAAGGGGGGGAGAGACAGAAGGGAGGGCAGACTAGGGGAAGGGGTATTCAGAATGCATGCCATCTTGGGGTGAGGGGAGGGGCAAGATGGGGTGAAAATTTGGAACTCAAAATCTTGTGGAAGTGAATGTTAAAAACTAAAAAAAAAATAAATTAAAAAATATATGTTCACTCAATAAAATCAACATCCTCTTTTTTTTAAATTTAGATTTCAGTTCAAGGCTTCAGGGATATTGCAAGCAGCTGCAGTGGAATAAAGCACTTGGTCATCAATGATATGCCAATTCTGACGGATAGTTGTATAAAAGTAGGTCACTGAAAGCAAATTATCTTTAGAATCAGAATCAGAAATAAGATATGATGATGATAGTTAGCATTTATAAGGCACTTTAAGTTTCACAAAATGCTTTATGTTATCTCATTTGATCCTCACAACAACCCTGGAAAGTAGGTGCTTTTATCATCCCCATTTTATACTTGAAAAAACTGAGGCACAGAGAGGTTATTTGATTTGCCTGGGGTAACACAGCTACTCAGTGTCTGAGGCAGGATTCAAATTCATGTCTTCATACTTCAAGTACTCTAGCATTCTATGTACTGTGCCACTTAGCTGCCTGTATGTTTTTCTAATGATTTCAGATATAACAGCAAATGTATGTACGTGTTTTAAAGCCCTAGATTATAAGGAAATAATACAAAGGTTTTTAAAAAATATATACAGTGGTCTCTCTCTTTCATAAAAATGTATTTGCCAGTACTATTAAGAAGACTTTTTTTCCCCTCATCTTGATGATTAAAGTATCTGGCTTGTAGAGCCAATTACAATCTCTGTTTTGTGACTTTTTGCCAAGTCACAGTGTGTTGGCACTGGTCCCCAGTACAACCTCTGGTTTGTGCTAGGGAGGCAGTTTAAGTATGACTTTTTTGGGTTTAGTTTTGTTTTTTGATTATTTTTGAGAGGATCTTTGTCCTGGAAGTCAGGACTAGGTGCAGATTTGGTTTGGCTTCTATCTTTGTGATAGTCCAGAAGTGTCCTTGGCCTTGTGAACAGTTCCTTAGGAGTATCTGCTATGTGGTCAGGACACATGAAAAGGCTTTGACCCAGTGTCCCAAGATAGGTGAAGGAAAAATTTATTTTTTTGGCCAAGAGTTTAAAGACAAGTGTAAGTAAGGTGAATTTTACTGTGTGTAAAGTGGATTTTTTGTTATTCTTTCTTACAGTTTTCTTCCCAGCATCCATAGCCATAACAATCTCTACTCTCTAGGTGTTAGATATGAGTTCTCACGATCATGGTTCAAAACAGTTTCTACCATGCTTGTGCAGTAGATACAGGGATGAAGTGATGTAAAATTGTGAGGCTATTGCTGGCAGTGTGCCTTCTTTGTCTGTTGTCCTGTAAAGCAAATGGGCACTGGTCAGTGACTGGGGACCCCTATAGGGGTGAATGTGCAGGCTGGATGCTGTGTGTGCCTTGACCATCCCCCATCAAGGCTTGGGAGGGAGAATCTGAGTGTTTGCCTCAACCAGCCTCCATTGAGACTTGAGGGGATTTAGGGGAGTGCACAAGTTGTGCTGGTCTCGATTGACCCCACCGAGATGAGGGGTAATTGCCCCCCCCGCTTCATGCTGGCCCCTATGAGAAGGGTTGTTAGGAATTCTGTAGGAGTTGGTGCTCCTATTATGAGCAAACTCCCTTTGAGAAGACTAGACTAGAATAAAGTAAGCTTATTTAACCCCTTATTATGACTCCATTCCTGTCTTCCTGTCTGATAGGATCAAAAGCAAACCTGCTGGTGAGAGAGGTGCTAGAAGCCCTCCTGTGTCTCTTTCCTAAGAAATGGCATAGTCGATGTGTTTACTTGTCCAACAACTAGCGATGGTGGAACTACTGTCCTAGCCTGGTCTCTCAAAGCCAGTAATAGCACAGCTGTGGCTATCATCTAGTACTGGGGACATGGTGAACATGCAGTTGTGGCACTGGTGTTGTCTGGGATATGATGAAGCTACAGCCTAGGAATCGTACTAGTGATCAAGGCATCCTAACAATGAAGCTGTTGTTTTAGGGTGAAGGTCGGAACTTGTTTTCAAGGCTTGAGGCTTGATCCCATAGTTCAAATCTGATATTCTCAAAGCTGGAGCTCTGAACCAGTAGTCAGGTTCAGACTGGTGGCCCAGTTCCAGCTTATTATAGACTTGGACTTGTGCATGGGCCTTTGCAAGGCTTCAACCAGTTTACTAGGGGTGGGAGCTGGGACAGAGTTTACTGGCACAGGTGCATCCCTGGCCTGGTAGTCAGGACATATTGGGGTTAAATGTATAGTTGGGGCCTTGAGTTCTGTGAATGGTGGAATCTTAGCCCAGTGGTCAGAAAATGGATTGCTGGTTGAGGTGTTGCTCTGTTAAAGTCACACAGCTGTGTAAAACTTTGAACAGGTTCTCAAAGTTACTAGGAACACACGTGGGGTTGAGGCCCCATGGTGATATAAAACATTGTTTAGAAGATATGAAAGGCCCAGCAGTTACCTTGGTCCTGAGGCTAGGCAAGTTAAGGGAAAGGGTATGACTGTGGCATAGCTTTTTCAGTATATTCATGGTTTAGCTCTGCTCTGCCCTATATTTCAAAATGGGAAATGGCAGAGTCGTTGCCAAGCAGTCAGGATTAGGATAACTGTTTGAAGCGTGGTGAGGACACAATTGTGGACCTGTTATAAAAAAGGTGATATTTTGGCCTGATGGTTGAAGCATGATGTTTGCCTTGTGGTGGTTTTGTTGCCATGATGATCCAATCTGATCTGGAGCACATGACTAGGCTGGGTGACTTGACTGGCTTTTTGGAGAGCAGTAGACCAACACTGCCCCTGGAAATATCCTTTGTCTTCTCATTTCTCTACTTGAAGGTTATCTCTTGCCCATCACAGCAAAAAGGCAAGAGACAAGGAGGACAGAATAGTATATATACCGCCAGATGTGGTCACTGTGGCTTGTTTTTCTTTATCACAATTGTGGACCCATTTAAAGTAGGGAGTGGACAGAACTGCCCAGGGATGAGGAGCAAAGGTCTGCCTCCACAGAGCTTCTGAAGCTTCCCTCAGTCCCTGTTCTCAAGTAACTCATAGTCTAATGGGGAAGCCCCCATGCAAACAACTCTGTATAAATAAAATCTATAGAAGATCAATGGCAGGGGTGGGAAGCGGGGTCAAGAGGGAAGGCACTGGCATTAAGGGGATTGAGAAAGGCTTCTTGTAGAGAGTGAGATTTTAGCTAGTACTTAAAAGAAGTCAGGGAAGCCAGGAGGCAGAGATGAGACGGAAAAGCATTCCAGGCATGGAAGACAGCCAGTAAAAATGCCCAGAGTTGGGAGATGGAGAATCTTATCCAAATAACAGAAAGGAGGAGAGTGTCCCTGGATTGCAGAGTGCATGGAAGGGAGTAAAGTGCAACAAGATTGAAAAGGTTAGAAAAAGTGTTCATTTTTTTTTTTTTTTTAACAAATCCTTATGTTAACTACACAGGCAGCTAGGTAGCATTATGGATTAGGTGCAGGCTTATAGTCAGGAATACCTGACTATACTTGCCAGATACTTACCAGTAGTGTGACCTTGGGCAAGTCATTTGTCCTTTCTCAGCCTCAGTCTTCTCCCCTGAAAAATGGGGTTAACAATAGCACCTACCTCCTAGGGTTCTCATGAGGACTGAATGAGATAATATTCGTAAAGTGCTTTGTAATCCTTAAAGTACTATATAGCTGCTACTAAGTAAAATGCAAAATTGAATTAAACTTGAAATTTGCCACATACAACACACTTTCATGTCACTGATTTGACCTCTGTATTGATTTCTGCCTGTTTGTTAATGAAAGGATTTAACCCCTCAGAGTTGTCAAACTCAAATAGAAACAGATTCTTGCCAGTCACATATTGACTTAGAAAACCACAACGTAACATTATCTTAGTTGTACTGTGTTTTTATTTATTTAGTTAAACATTTCCCTATTATATTTTAATCTGGTTCAGGTCACACAAGTTTTGTTGGCCATGAGTTTGACACTTCTGCTCTAGTCAAATCTCTAAGCCCTAAGTTGCAGAGAAGGTGCCAATTTCTATCAGTGGAGTGACCTCACCTGGGAGTTCCTTATACCAATGAAATCTCAAGTTTCCCTCTCTTCATAGTGCCTTACCTCTGAGATTACTTTCCATTATATTGTTTATATCTGATGTGTACAATTTTTTGCATGTTGCCTCCCCTATTCTACTGTGAGCTCTTTGAGGGCAGAGATCATGCTTTGACCTTTCTCTGTATCTCCAGCACTTAGCACAGTATTTGGTACATAGTAGGCACTTAATAAATGTATGGTGACTGATTATTCCTTCTTCAGAGCTAGTTGTGCAAGTTTTGACAAGTTTTTTGGTACACATCAGTCATTTGCTGGTGCATACAAGTGGGGAAAAAAGCACACGCTCTCTCTCTCTATATATGTTCATATGTACATATATACATATACGCACAGAGGTTTATACACATACTTGTAAACATCTAATTTCTTTGTGTCCTTGAATCCCCTGTGAAATTTTTCCATTGCTCTCCAGTTACTTGTTTTATGGTGTAATTCAAACACAAAGCTTTAGTACATGAAAGTAGTTTGGAGCTTGTCAGTGTTCAAGATTAGGTGACAGTAGCCACCAAATGTGGCAATCCTTTTTGGTGTTCCCTTTTCTTATGACTTTTTATACACTTAGGACATAACTTCTTAAGTCACTTTTCCCCCCATCCAGCCGTTCAATTATAAGTATGTTAAATTAAATTATTTAAAATTATTTAACATATTTAAATGGTACTTGATGTTCTTTCCTCTGACATTAGTAAACTTTATTAGAAAATTTGACCTATGTTATTATTTAAGAAAAAATTCATAAAAATATTTGAAGGCTGTAACTAGTGAATGAAGTAGGATGGATTTGATTTAAATCACTAGTCAAGAAAACTCATTTGATATTACCTAATCTTTAAAACTGATATGTTTTAGCAATAGCTAGCTAAGTGATTTTTAGGCTTTAGCAGAAAATTGACAAGTTTAATTTAGTTATTTAAGTAAAGCTGTTAATTTTTAGAGATGAGCTATCTCCAATTCAACCATTATATTTTTGCCATGTAGTAGTAATACTGCTGTCATTAAAACTAGATATTTAAACTTTGTAAAGGAAGAAGTTCATATATTTTGTATTTTTAAGCCAATATATGTATGTTTTAACTAAACAAACATTCACTTTGAGATTTTCATTGTGGAATTGTGGGTTAAAATAAAAACTTGGCCAAAACACCATGAGAGAGAAAATATTGGGTTTTGTAGCAACTACATCCTTCACTTTGCTGTTTCTGTTTACTTATAAATCAGGGAGTGGGGTGGAAGGAAGAGGGCATTTTCCTGCTTTAATTCTCAAAGAATTTCTCAGTTTAGAATGTATTAACCCAAAAGAAGAGACTATTAATTTTGCACTTACAAGAGAAACTATTAAAAATTGAGTTTTCATTTCATTAGCATCTCAGGAATTCAGATGTTTTAAGTGATTATAATAGTTCACTAACCTTCCTTGAGAAGTTTATCTGTGACATATATTTCTTGAATAGTTTATTTTTGCCTTGAAATTCAATGGAAGAGTGATTGTTAAAGGCAGCAATAGACAACTTTTTTTCAGCTGGTATGGGTTGATCCACATTGGAGAGAAGACTGGGTTCAAATCTCAGCTCTGCTTTAGTACCTGTTTGACCTTGTACAAGTCATATCACTTCTATGGCTGCAGTTTTCTCATCTTGAAAATGAGTGGGTTAGACTTTGATGTGCCCTCTAAGGTCCCTTTACTGCTCTAAATATATGAACGGCTTAGTTCTATATTTGTTCTAAAATCTAGGGTTTTCTCTAATCAAATTTTTTTCTCTTAAAGGTTTTAGCTGAAAAGTGCAAAAACATTACATCTGTAGTATTCATTGGTTTACCACATCTCTCTGATACTACTTTTAAATATCTTACTGACTGCTCACTTAGCAAGGTTCGAGTTGAAGGTCAGTGACATAGTTAAACTATTTCATCACTATTTTGACTTTGAGTATTAATGATAAATGTGATACCTTTGGGGTCTGTATTTTAACAGGGAATAATCGCATAACTGACAACTTTCAAACTTATGGATAAATGTTATGAAGATCTCTGCCATATTTACACGACTGATTGTGAGAGGATTACTGATGACAGTCTTAAGTCGATTGCTAATTTGAAGAATCTTGTTGTATTGAATTTAACCAATTGTATAAGGTAATCTGATTTTTTAATGAACCAACCATTTTAACAAAAGTATTTAATCCATAATGATGTGGCTAGATGTTTAAGACATTGCCAAAAGCATTGGAGTTGTCCACTGATCCTCGGTAGTTTTCAGATATGTAGCATCTTGATACCTCAGTTTTCCTGTTGATAAAATTCATCATTTTGTACAGTTGAATGAAATATGTTGGACTATTTATAAGAAAGGCTATAAAATCATCCTGTTTGTAAGACAAACCCCAACTCTTTTAGAAGGGAGTTCTAATTATTATTTAAATTCTTCTGTTTTCCTAGCATTTTATTGAGTAATATCTCTTATGGCAAGTCTAAAGAACCAATCCAGAAAGAGGGCAGTGGTATATAACAGCATTCCCCATATAAAACCAATAATTGAGTCAATTAAATCATTTTAGTTTTATTAAAGTTGATGAAACATATGGAAGACTTTCTAGAGTGGAAATGAGGACATAGGCTTTAGTTTCTTGTACTAGGAATACTTCTCTGTATTTGACTAGTACTGTGGGAGGAAGAGGAATGTAGGTATTAGAACCTCTTGTAGAGATGAAAAGTAGGCAAAGATGTTCTATGGCAACTTCTCAAACTTTAATCTTATAACTACCTGCCAGGTTTCTCTATTTCTTCATTAGCCTTTCAACCCATTCTGGATGTTTATATATCCTTCCCCACCTTTGGTGCCCTATGCCCTAAAGTTTCTGACTTGTAGCACTTTATTCTAGGCTTACCTTCTGCAGACATTACAGTGTTCCAGAGTTAAAATCCTCTGTCTCTTACCATTCATATAAGACTCACATTCTCTCAATGTCCTATTCCCATTTTTTTTTGCAGAGGAAAGTGATCTAGTACTTATTTATACTTTTGTATGAATTATTTTAATAGTGTTACCCCTCAGGGATATTTACATTCATTGCTTAAACAGGTCATGAGCATCTGCTACATGCTAGGCACTGTGAGAGATACTATATTAAAACACAGACATAGTTCTTTTCCCTAGGGGATTTAAAATCTCATATAAGAGACAGAACACATCCAGGACGTAATAACAACACAAGACAGTAAAGATCAAGTACTAACATTAATTGTACAGATAAGAACTATAATAGACTAAGGAAGGGAAACATCAATTTGGGCTGGAGTAGTAAGGGTATGTTTCAAGAAGGCAGTCGGACTTGAACTAGAAATATCAAAGGATAAGTAAAAGAGATTGGCAGAAAGGGAGGAGAGAACAATTCAGGTTGGGGGGAACAGCATGAACAGAGGGGAGAGTCATCACTATGTTTTCAAAGGAAAATGAAGGGACCAGGCTCGTGTTTTTTGTGAGGCTATTGTGGGACATAAGGTTGGCGAAGCAAAGATTGATTAAAGAGGAGCTAGCAGGATTTGATCTTGTAGATAATATGAAGGCAGTGGCAGCTTTTGAACAAGTGAATTGTCCTGTTTCGCTCTGCCCAGAGCCTGGAGGATCTCCGTCGTGGGGTCAGCGTAAGAGTAAGAAAGATTTATAGTACCAGAGGAATAGAGGCAAAACATGTGTCAGCACAGGAAGCCACAGGTTAAAAGAGCCAGAGAAGAGTTGATGTCTTGAGGAATGAGAGCAGACTATCCTCGTCCTAGCACCATAAAGCAGGAGACTGAGAAAGACAGGCTAAATAAGGCACCAAGTGTGAACTAATAATGAAAAAGCAGAGTGAAGGATTAAGGTACAGCCTTTGTAACTCATTTACTTGCACTAAAAAGGGCTTATCTGGCACTTGCCAGTATGACACTAACCATGCTTTCCCATCTGATTCTGTGAACTTCAGCTACTCCTGCAGGGGACAACAAAGACAAGAGGGGAGTAACGATATGTGAAACAAGTTTTAGGATTATTGACTCGATAGCAGTAATCAAAAGCATCAGAAGAGGAAGAAATCGTATTCAGAGAAACTGATTAAGACGCTACTCCTGTAATTCAGACAGGAGATGGTGAGGACCTGGATCAGGGTGGCAGCAATGGAGACACGAGGGCAAGAATAAACAGGCATGCTGGAATATCAGAAAGTGAAGGACCGCAGAGGTCATCTAGTCCAATACATACCCAAGAAAGTACCTCTTCTACAAAAATCCCTGACAGGTGGTCACCTAATATATACATGAAGACCTTCAATAATTAGCAAGGCAGCCCCACTTTACTTTGGACCACTCTAATTATTAGAAAGGTTTTTTTTCCCCCTTGTATCCAGCCAAAATCAGTTTTTCTATGATATCCATGGCTTCTAATTCTATCCTTTGGGAACGACTAAAGCAATTTCTCTTTCCCATGACACCTCCTTAAAATGCTTGAAAAAAGCAAAAATGGACTTTGTAGATCTTCTCTTCATTTTTCAGAACACCCCAGTTTCCTCCAACTAATCCTTATGTGTCATAGTTTCTGGTCCTTTTAACATCCTGGTTACCCTCCTTTGGTTGTACTCTAGCTTATCCACATCCTTCCTAAAATATGGTGCTTGGAACTGATCAAATTGTGTCCTGATGAGGATAGAGTGTGGCAGGACTCTCCACTTCCTCATTTTGGACACAGTTTTATGAATATTGCCACAGATTGCATCAGCTTTTCTGGCTAACATGCTGGATATCAAATTGCAGTTACAGTCCATAAAAAAACAACAAAAAGCACAGGAATGGTTGTCTAGCTACCTCTCTTCCATTCTAGACTTACAGTTGACCTTTTGAACCAAAATGTAGGGCTTTCCATTTATCTCTACTAAATTTCATGTTATTAGATTTGACCCAATTGTCATAGTTTGGAATCATAATTATCTCATGCAGTGTACTATGTTAGTTATCCTCAGCTTTGTGTTATCCACAGATTTAGGAAATGTGACATCTCTACTTTCATCCAAGTTATTCATAAAATTGTGTAAGAAAATAAAGCCTAGCTGTGTGACCCTGAGCAAGTCACTGAACCCTGATTACCTCACCACAAAGCAAAAAAAGAAAGAAAGAAAGAAAAGAAAGCCAAGGTTAGAGTCCTTTTCCACTCCACCAGAATTCCTTCCTAGTTGTAAGGTAGTTGGTACATTAGAGAATACTAGGCTTGGAATCAGGGAGACTTAATTTCAGATCTGGCTTCAAATACTGACTATTTTTATGATCCTGGGCAAATCACTTAACATCTGTCTTCCTCAGTTTTCTTAACTCAAAATGGGAACAATAATAGCACCTGTCTTCCAGAGTTGTTGTAAAGTTCCAAAGACATATTTGTAAAGGGCATCACATTAGTGCCTGGCATATAATAGGAGCTTAATAAATGCTCATTTCCCTCCTTCCTTAACAATGATCCATTATTTACCACACTTTGGATATAGTTATTCAATTAGGCCTAAATTCATCTAACTGTGCTATGATTCAGTATACATCTTTCCCACAAGGATTTCATAAAACATTGTCAAATGCCTTTTTGAAACCTCAGTATTTTATGAATACAGCATTCCCAAGATCTACCAATCCAGTGACCCTGTCTAAAAAAGAAAAATGTTACCCTGGCATTTCTTGTACTTGAAGTCATGCTGGTTGTACTATCACTACTTTCCATCCTATGTATTTATAAACTATGCCTTTAATTATAGGATGAAGATAAAGTCAGGATCTGTAATTTTATTAATGTGGGGAACTTCCTGGTGAAGAAACTCCTTTACCAATTCACAATGGCATTTTCTATGAAATTTATAGTCTGGAGAGTTATCTAGAACACTGAGTTCAACCCAGTGTGACAGAGGTCTTCCTGGTTTGAGGTCAGTTCTCTGTTTACTATGCCCCAATTCTTCTCATGCCTTTAATATTATGCTCCAGAAGTCTACAAGAAATTCTCAAGAAAGTCAGGACTATTAGTTTATAGATTAAAAACTCTTCTTTTTCCCCTTTTTGAAAAATTGGGGCAATATTTGCATCCCTCCCAATGACCAATGGCGGTAATTTCATGTCAGTGATGGAGTGAAGATGAGTTGGCCTTGGTAGAGGAGAAGTCACCAACATGAGAATTTCTTAGTTTTATGGAGTCATATTTGCAGTTGTGTGGTGTGGTAAACACAAGCCAGTCCAACAGAAGATGCTATCGCTGTCTCCCTGTAGGGTCTCTGCTCCTGCAGTTCTCTCTATGACTCTTAGAGGGACTGAAGAACCAACATTAGCCATTGGTCAAGTGCAGATAAGCCAAAGAGGGTTTCATAAAGTTCTCCTAAACAGAATTCCTCTATATCTCTTATAAAGATGGGTTAAGTAACAGTCAATAAAATGAGAGGAAGAGAACATTTTTGCTCATATTATATCACAAACAAGTTGTGTTAGTGCCATAAAATAAGGGGGAGTGGATCTCATCCCAGCCACGTTAGGTTCCCTCTGGTTCTCTCTTCTACTGCCATTATCTGGGGCAGGAGTGGGGAACCTGTGGCCTTAAGGCCACATGTGGCCCTCTAGGTCCTCAAGTGTGGCACTTGGACTCAGTTCAAAAGGCCGCACCTGAGGACCATGAAGGCCACATGTGGCCTCACAGCTGCACCTCTGATCTGGGGGATAAAAAAGGGAAGGATCTTCCAAAGAAGTCCACGCTCCTAGTTCCAACTGCCTTCCCTTTCATCTTTCTTGCCTTTTTCAATATATCTCCTTGCTCTGCTTATGTTCAACAAAACATTTTTTCAGTACCTAATAGGTGCAGAGTACATAGACATTACATAAACTGTGAACATTTAACCTTTCCATTATACACAGTTAAAGAATGTCATCAATATAGCTTCCTTAGACAGCTGAGCTCAGATTTATAAGCTCTAAAATGTATGGTGGTCAGTATAGTGTAGATTTAAAAATGTAAAAGTCCCTGTGAGCTGTCTTTGCCCATTTTTAGTTCATTTCATTTCTACTCTTCAATCTTAAAGCTACTTTCCTTAACTCTTCTTCTGGTTTCCAAAAGAGTGAGGTTATTGCTTTCTGGCTCTCCAGTTCCACTTCTTGGGCTTATAATTGAAACTGCACTGAGATTTAAGCCACCTCTTTCACCCACATTTCTGGTTTATTTCTGCCTCCGACCCTAGAAAATTCTGTCTTATTCTCCTCTCTCTTCCTGACTTGTAATACAGACCCTGCTTTCTCTATTTTTCCCTTAAAGTCTCCTAGATACTTTGTTCTTCCTTCTGTTTTTTAATCTGTCTTGTGCTACACTATTTCACTCTATAAATCTCCCTTGAATGCTGTTTTGGCCATCTTGAATCTTTATTAATTCTTCCTTTTTCCTTCTCTTCCATTCCCATTTTTGTGGGGTTTTCCTACCCACTCTTCTCTCAGACAAATTAATCAATCAAGAAGCATCTCTGAAGGGACTTTGATTTTCTGGTCACTGTCCTAGCCACTGGGGATGCAAATACAAAAGTGAGATAAAACCTGTGCTCGAACTGCTTATATTCTGCTGAATTTTGCTGCCTTTCTCACCTTTTAGCCAAATTGCAGATGAGCCTCTCTGAATTTAGCTAGGTTAGTCCTCAGATGACCGACACAGAGGCCATTACCAGATCTATACTCAAAGCCTTTTTAGCTTAATAAGACCTAACGAAGCATGTGCTCTGCTGGCATAGGCTTCAAGAACCTAGACTCATATCCATACCAATGTGAGGCTCCGGGGGAAGACATTTAGACTCTCTCCTTCCTGTCCTTTTGATCCTGTGGTACCTTACCTGCACCATACGATTGTCTCATCCCCTGAGTTCATCCAAAAAAATCTCATAGTATCACCTTCAGAGTTTTCATAACACAAATTTACATTTCAAAAGTAGCTCCTAGTAGCTTTGAATATATCCTTACCAATACTTAAGACCCATATTTCTCTTGGGAATGTCTTTTCCAAACTCATAATTCTTTGTGGATAAGAAGAATGTGAGAAAATTTTACCACTGTTGGTATTGCAAAGAATTTTAAATTAAAATTTCAAATAATTTATGTGCAATATTTCTAGCTGAATTATTTAGATTCTATGAAAAGGATATGCATAAAAAAGATATGTATGAGGGTTTCATAACATAGAGGAAGACTTGGAAAAAGGCCACTACACAGGTGTGCCAGAGCTAAAACTCCACTATGATTTTTGGGCCACCCTCTATTTCCAAATTTCCAAATATGTGTTTCCAAATCTAAGTTTCTTCTACTTCATAGTTTAACTCTACTCAAGGTTTCCGGTTACTCCATGCCATTTTGGCAGTGAGTAGAAGCAATTACACAAGCAAACCAGAAAGCTTTTTCTATTTTGCAGATTTTTTTTCCTTTTCATTTAATAAGGACAGTTAACATACTTACAAGAAGTAAATGAAGTGATAAAAAGTAGAGAGCACAATTAGGCAACTCTCCTGAACTTGATGTTCTCATTTTAAAAATATATATGATTTCATTGAAAGATTGAAAGGAGCATAGAATTGGAATAAGCAGAGTGTCCACTCACCAACAGTTTGTAGTCCAAAGTTTATCCATGAATTGGCTGTTTGGAACTCAGTACATTTTACCTTAAAAAAGGCAGTTAGGGTCCCAGGCCAGCAAAAGACTGTTTTACACATGACATAGTTGACATATAGTGCTAATAGTTTTGCTTCAATTTCACCTAATCACAATTTATAGATCATTATTTAATGAGAAAATGCACTTTGAACTCCAATAGTAATGAAATTCATTAATAGTGAATCCCTCAGCAGTGATGAGGGTGGGTGTGGGAGAGGGTGTGTATCTCATGAAATGATAATTTGTTAATTCACTGTACTTCTATATCAGCATAAAAAAAGAGACCTCTTCAGAGCCTCTATATTTTACATGAGAAGAGGCACCTCTTTGGATCAATCACATCCCAGACCTTTTTAAAGAGAGAATGAAGAACAGTTGTCTCAATGGAGATGAGGACAAGGGCTTCAGGTTTTGACGCATCTGATGCCCATTTTTTATGACTAAGTTCTTTCTAAGTTGAATTTTTGTAGCTTGAGGACCCTGCGGCTTTTATTTACTTTTTTCTAGAAATAATTTTGCATTAGAAAGAAATAAATGACAGCAAGTGTAATTGGGAAGATCAGAGATTGCAAATGGGGCACCAAACACCAACTTCCCATTCCTTTCCCTTGATCTATTTCTCATTCTTGTACACAGTGTCTGGCATATAAAGGCTAATTGATTAATTGATTGTAATGATGGGAAATGACTCTAGATAAGACAAATAAAGAAACAAAACAGCCCACTTTTGACTCATCTGGTATTTGTAACAGAGTCCCTTTTAGTGTTTTTGTGTGCTTATTTTATTTGACTTTTTAGATAGTTTTGTGAAGGCAGGAGGATAATAGTCATGTTTGTATTGCAGGAACTTAGAAATGCTTATGTGGTGAGACCCCATGTGTAGTGAGGGCTGATTTCTCCTCACATCCCCCACCACATATAGTATGGGTTGCGTTGTTATGTGACTTGAAGGGAGACAGAATAGACATCCCTTGCTTCTTCTTCCTCCACCTTTCTCTAAGGAAGACTTCAGTTCCTTCCAGGAGAGGAAGAATGAAGTTGGGACTGGAGACCACTCTGCTTTCCTCAGAAAAAGGGATGAGGGGGCAGGCTAGAATTATACCTATTTGCTCCCTTTTGTTAGTCTAGGAGATATGAACAAGTTCAAGTTCAAGCTACATTCTGATTGCTGTTCATTACTGGGGAAGAGAGGGACCCCAAGCTCTATATCCAAGACTTGATCCCTTTCCCACCAAAAACCACAATAAACACATATAGCACTTAGTTCCACAATGAAAACATATAAGTTAGCCAAGAAATCCATTTATCCAAATCATAGCAAAACAAATAAGAGAAAGTATGCATAGAAGAATATATATTAGACAATACAGAGTGAAGGAGCTCTTCCATTGGGACCAAGGTAACTCAGCTCAACTGAGAGAGAATACCAGATCTCATTCAAGGGGAAGTTTCAGCAAGTCTCTAGTGTAGCAAGCTGGGGGAAGGATATGATGGAGACTGTCAGCTTCTCTCATGTCTTCCCAGAGTCCTTTCCTTCAGCTACTTCATACAGGGCAGGGCATCCATCTCCACCAATGAGGAAAGAGTCCCATACCAATGGGCTTTGGGAATGGAGTTACACTTTTTAAAAATATTGTTAGTAATGCATCTGCACTAATACCGTTAATGGTTTTCTACAAAAGCTGATGGTTATTCAACGAAATTTAGTTTTAGAAAGTTGAGAAAAGACCTCTTCTAATGCCTTTCTGTGGCATAGTAATGACCTTGGGTTTTCTAAGGTTACCCTCATGAAATACAAGCTCTGACAGGTCCTACCAAGCTGGTTCTATCAACCAGTTAATCAACAAGCATTTATTAAGTGCTAAGTACTGGGGTATAAAGAAAGACAAAAACACTCTGAGATTCTAATGGGAGAGACAAATATGCAAGCAACTATGTACTTACAAGCTGAATACAGAGTAAATTGGGAGTAATGTCAGAGGAAAGTCACTAGCATTAAGGGGGAATTGGGGAAGACCTCTTGAAAAAATGAGATTTTAACTGAGACTTGAAGGAAGTCAAGAGAATTAGGAGGCAGAGGTATGGAGGGAGAGTATTGCAAGCATGATGGATAACCAATGAAATGCACATGAATGCATTGAAAGTGGAGTGAAAATAGAAAGTCCTTGAATTTGGCATAGTGATAGACCTTGTTGCTAATCTGAGAACCAACCTTGTCAAACTCAGCAAGGTTCTTCATCAGAAGGTTGGCCACCTGGTGACAATTTTTTTTTGGTTTTAGTAACTCAATGACTGTCTGGTAAGGGATGGAAGGGTTGCAATCTATATCAATGGAGGGAGTTCCCACACCAGCAAAATCATGAATTCTTGAAGTATTGTAGGATCATAGACAAGAAGAACCTTAGAAGCTTTCTGATATTTTACAAATGAGGAAACTGAGGCCCAAGGAAGGTAAATGCCTTGTCTAAAATTATGGAGATAGTAAGCAGCAGAAGTGGGACGTGAACCCATGTCTTCTGACTCTGGAACTAGTGCTTATTCCATTGTACCAACCTGTCTCTAATAATTAATAAGGTGTTTACTAACTAGTATTTAAATTCATATAAAGCATACGTAAAGCAATTTTTTTCATCCTTTCAGAATTGGTGATGTTGGCCTAAGGAGCTTCCTTGTTGGACCTTCAAGCTCAAAGCTTAGAGAACTGAATTTAACTAACTGTGCCCAAATAAGTGATCTTGCCCTTGCACAAATGGGAGAAAGGTATGGCAAAGGACTACAGTGTTCTGCATTATTTCATCACTAATGAAATATACAATTATGACTTGTTATTTTCTGTAATTTGGGGAAAATGAGTAGACACTAAAAGGAAGCCAGCCCTCATTGAAATTTTGGTTAAAAGTTGTCATGAAGGTTAAGCTGTACATCTATGGAACCAGGATAGTTTGTCACCAATTCTCTGTAAGAGGAAAAGTTTAATATGCGATAATATATTATAAAGATAGAATACGTAGAAAAAGGGGTCATTTCCTGCATTTTTGAGAGCATAATTTTTACTTGAACTATACACACACTTTGCCCTTTTCATCCATGTATAGAATGGGTGTAGAAGTCACACATCCAACATAACTACAAGTATAATTAGCATGGAATTGAAGTATTTTTCTGGATGCTTTATCAAAGCTCTTAATTGGCCAGAAACCTTTTGAATTGCAGTGGTGGTAATGGCAGTGATCAGAAATTTAACAGTTACTAAAACACCAACTAATAGTTATAGCTATTGTTTGTTGTCCAGTCATTTCAGTCATGTCTGAGTCTTTGTGACCCCATTTGGGGTTTTCTTGGCAAAGATACTGGGGTGGTTTGCCATTTCTTTCTCCAGCTCATTTTATTGGTAAGAAAAATGTAGCAAACAGGGTTAAGCGACTTGCCCAGGGTCACACAGCTAGAATGTGTCTGAAGCCAGATTTGAACTTAGGAAAATGAGCCTTCCTGACTTCAGGTTTGGTGCTCTATCCACTATACCACCTAGCTGTCCCTTAACCATTGTTACTTATACTTATTTAGGAATACGTTCATTGTCAACTTATCCCTATACTTCAAACATTTAAAATTGGGTGTGATCATCATTGTCATCACCATTATCATCTCACAATTATATTACAGTTCACAGAACATTTTCTTCCCAGCAACCATGTGAATTAGGTCATTCAAATATCATACACTATTATCCAGCCTGGGGAATCTTGTATCTAGTACTTGGTACTATATGCTTAGTAAGGGTTTTATGGACTGAAGTGGAGAGAGTGACACACCAAAGAAGGAAGGGAAACTGCAGCTGAGACTGTTTAAATGACCTACCCAAAGCCACTTAGTTGGTATGTGTGGGAGCTGAGTCAAATCCAGTTAAAAGCAATATAATCATTTCCTTACAATGAATTATACATGGTTCAGACATGAAGAATGTGTGGGAGGATGTATTTTTCTTTCCAACAAAATGTCCTAACAATGTTGCCAAAAACTTGAGGACCTTAGAAGGTAGTTCCTAGAGGCCAGTACATATATTACTAAAATTAATGGTCATGTAAACCATTTTGTTTCTTGTGGTGGATTTGGAGTCCAGTTTTGCCATTTACTTCCTTTGTGACCCTAGAAAAATCACAGCCTCTTTTGGTCTCAGGTTTCTCATCCGGTAAGAGAAAAGATTGGAATAAGATGTTCTATTTCTGAGGCCCCTTCCAGTTCTAAAACCTATGATTCTATAACCTAATGTTGATCTATATGACACTAAAAAATGCTTGCTCCTATGAAGGGAAGGGAATATACCATTATATAGTGCTTACTATGTACCAGGCACTGTGCTAAGTGCTTTTTTATAAATATTTTCTTATTTGATCCTCACAACAACCCTAGGAGGGAGGTGCTGTTATTATTTCCATTTTACGATTGAGAATAATGGGCCAACAGAGTTTAAGTGACTTGCCGAGGATTACCCAACTGGTAAATGTATGAGGCCATATTTGAACTCAGATGTTCCTGATTCTAAGTCCAGTGCTCTATCCATTGTGCTACAGCTGCCTCTATGAGATAAATCTGTTGTTGTCACTGAAGGGCAGGTTGTTGAAGATTGAAATGTTTCATCTGGTCTCTTTCCTTTGGTCCTTCTTATAGCTTGTGTGTTCAAAGTTCACAAGCCCTCAATTGTAGGAGGATTTAAGGTATGTTGGAAAGTTATAGAATTTGGATTGCAGTCCCATATTTGATGTTTATTAGCCACTATATCAGAGCATTTTTTGAACCTAAGTATTCCCATCTGTAAAATGAAAAAAGTAATACTTGGGCAAATGGACCTTCTTCCATCCCTGCCTAGAGATCCCACATTGTCCACGACAAGTGGGCAAAGAATATACAATGGGAGTGGGGTCCTTCCCCTCATCTCCTCCCCAAACATGTGCCTGCCTGCTCCTGGAGGACCAGGTGGGAGCTTGGGATGGGAGCCAGGGAAGGGCTTCATTAACTTACATGACCCACCTGATGGATTCATGGGAAGAAAATTCTTTGAAAATCTGAATTAGCTACGTATATGTCAGTTATTATTGCAAAAATCAGCAACGTGATAGAACTAGCAAACAAATCTTATTATATGTCCTTTGTGGTCTCTAGACGTCATAAATGGTGTTAGGGACTTCTCTCATACGAGCACACTAATCTCATTTCTTCCCTAGATTTCTTATTCCCTCCAGGCACATTCCTTTATCCCTTTGTGGAGGACACAGGAGCTCAGACACTTGCCATTCATTTATGGAATCTAAGTGGACTTTCTCATCATGAGCCTTCCACCCTGGTATCACTGTTTAGGATCCAGTCACTCGGACCCAAAACACAACCATTCACCTGCCACACGTACTCACTATACTGAGACCCAGAACGCCTTCTGGCCTGTAGAACCCCAGCCTTACCTGATAGTAAATCTGTTCCTCTGAGTATGCATCTCAACTCACTCCCTCTCTCATTTCCTCTCTTCTCATCATTCACAGACTCATTGCTCCTACTGCATATCTCTCATAAATCTCTACGGCTCCCACTCTCCTAGGACTACTGTTGTCTCCCTCTCAATCATGCTAGTGTTCTATATACTTACTTCAACACTAATAGAAGTTCTCAGTTCATCTTCCTTCCTTTGTATACCCAGAGACTAATTTTTACCACCAGCTATATGAGAAAGTCCAAATGCTTTCCAAATAGACTCAGGATATAATTGGCAGGTACTGGTAGGTCTGTGCCTTTGCAGTCTAGGGCACACAACTATGTCCCCTTTACTTAATAATTCCTGACTAACACATTGTGTTTTTTTTTTCTCATGGGAAGAGCTGACAAAATATGAAAGTGAATGTAAAATGTAAAAAAAAAACCCTCCCCTCTTCCTCAGTTTTAAATTTCTGAGTTTTATATAGTTTTCTATGTTTTGTTTCTTCTTATTTCTTCATTCAAAAATATTTCTTCATTCAAAAATTGAAAAATCATTTAATTAAAACCCATCCACTTTTGCCAAACTTAAAAAGGAAAAAAAAACCTTACTTTTAACAGTGCAACAAAAAGCCAAAATTTACTGGAAATGTGTTTTTTTTTTGTAGGTGTCGTAGTCTTACCTACTTGAATTTATGTAATTGTACACAGTTGACTGATTGTGGGATTGAGTTCATTACACAGCTTCCCAACTTGATTTCAATTGATCTTTCTGTAACAGCCATCACTGCTGAGGTTAAAAAAAAAAGCTTTGCTAAAAACTGAACTCATTTCTCAAAAATTATTTCTCTATGTTCCATATTAAACTCATAATTCATTGCTAGTTGGAAAACTTTTAAAAATAGACATTTATGTGCTTTAAAAATTTGAGTTGGGCAAGTTTAGTAATTTTGTTCCTGGGTTATTGGACCATGAATTTATATTAATCAGTAGATATTTCTTTGAGGTAGCAAAATGCTACAAAATTCTAGAAAAACTTTCTAATGGAAGGAAGTTGCATTACTGTGTTCAGATGTGAATCTTAAGAACAAAATTGTGAATGGGCAGATGATATGTTTGTTATAGAGTACAGGAGATTAGTAGGTAATGGACTGACAGTAAAGTTTGAGTCCATAATTCACTTGTAAGGTTTGAGTACACAATCCCCCAGTCTATCAGGTATGTATCATTCATCCTTCTATCCTGCAAACCTCTTCCCAAAATAAGATCTCTCATATCATAAGTTTCTCCTGTCTTCTTTCTTCACCTGTAAGTTATCTCGTACAAGACTGTTCTAGGAAAAGTCATAAGGGCATTAATTCTGTTCTCCATCCCACAATCCTTTTGGAGTATAAAAATCTCTTCCTTGAGAAGAACTTTTGTATGGTTCAATGATGAAACAGTATCCAGTCTACCACCACCCCACTTTTGATATCAGTAGTTACAAGCATTCTTCAGATTGTAGGAAACTGAGGTTCACTATTGGTCATACTGAATGGGGGCTTTCTTTTTAGGATTAATGGGAATGGATCTCAGGGAATACGGGTTTGCAACTGATTCAGTATGCTTCGATTAACATCCCTAGCCTTTTAATGTTTAAGTGTATTTCTACGTAGAAGCAGTGTTCTACAAAACTACCTTAAACTCCATTTGATTCCAAAGTTTTGGTTCTAGAATTCCAGTAAGTTACTCTTTATTCCCCAAAACAAAAGTATACATATTAAAGGAAGGGAAATCCCGAACACTCTGATACTTGTGTTGGAATTGTATTCTTCAGAGTAGAAGAAAGTAAAAAGAAATCTTGGTCAGAATGCTTTCTTTCCCTTCCCCTACTTCCTTCCATAACTACGGGTACTATCCTGTCACTCTACCTGTGTCCTGCCTCCTGCAAGAATGGATGGAGAAACCCTAAATGGAACTCCCCCCTAAAAAAATTGTTTCAATAATAAGGCTTTGGTAGAATGTAGGTAAGTAGAAAATGGCTAGTGTTTGAGATCGATTGTATTGGAAATCTTGAGATTGATTGTATTGGAAGAGAAGTGTACAGGCTCCCAAATTCCCTGTCAGTCAAGGGCTTGCAACCTTTGACATAGGCAGAATTGAAATAAAAGAGATCTGTTACTAGCCTTATAACACAGATTTGTTATCACCCTACTCTTAGCTGTAATCATCTAGTGTGGAATACAAGACACATGAATACAGTACTGAGGAATATAGGGATGCAAAGGGAAATCCACTCTTGAAAATATTCCTAGTGCTTGACTGTTCTACCAGCAAGATTTTTTTAAAAAACTGGATCACTAGCGATCTCTATTAAGAGACTGGGCTCCACAGTGGCATTAGAATGGGCTGTCTTTTTTTGTGAGGCATTTGGGGTTAAGTGACTTGCCCAGAGACACACAGCTAGGAAGTATTATGTGTCTGAGGCTGGATTTGAACTCAGGTCCATCCTCATTCAACGGCTGGTGCTCTATCCACCACACCACCTAGCTGCTCCATAGAATGGGCTGTCTTAAACTAAAGTCAGGTCACATATGGCTATTTAAGGACAGAAAAAAGTGGAGGATAGAAGCCAAAGAAAAACTAAAAGAACATGGATACTAAGCAGAATGTAGACTCAGAGAGGCAAAGTGCCAGGACAAGGGAAACTGGAGAACAAATAGGAGGTATTAGCACTAAGGAGACTTTGAATATGAAGCAAATGCCAAAATGCTACTCTGTGTTGCCTGCTGGAGTAGAGTGAACTCATAGGACTTAGTATAGCTAAAATACAAGCATGGGGATTAGTTGTATTTGTTGAAAGGAAATACACAGGTGGAAAGTAAGGACAGATCTTGACAGAAATGCTGAGAGCAATGTGAAATGACACCAGGAAAGGGGACAAAAGAATTATTTAAAAACAACAGCAGCAACAAAAACAGAAACACCATGAATGTACAGAAGTCTGAGTAAGGACATCTGTGGTAAGGACAAATGTCACTACATACCTCAATAGTTTAGCAGGGCATTGCTGTCCTGTATCACAGTTCATTAACTGATATTTATAATGAAGACACTGAATCCACAAGAAAAAATTTAATTGCTTTCAGTATATGTTGTTTCATAAAGCAAGAAAATATTTAGTATATTTTAGAAACCAAAAATGTTCTTGCTCTCCTACCCAACACACTCAAAAAAAGTGTTTAAAGCAGAAAGCTTAAGTTATCTATAAAGTTCACTTATTTGAAACATTTCATTCCTCAGTGATGTCAATTGAATGAAGTGTTAATACTCAAATACTTAGATGTATCTTTGATCTCCTCAGTTCAGGAGTTCCTTCTAACAATGCAAATTGCAATCCATGCATTATAATCAGAATATGTTCATTCATGTTCACTGAATGGTTTGCATATGCTACCTTTAAGAGGAAAAATTTTCTCACTATAACATAAGAAACTCCAATACAAATGTTGCCCTCTTATTATTTTTGTATATAATTGTACAGCATTGGATTAATTATTAATTAATTGGACTTTTGAGAATTGAGATTATGTTCATAATATATGAATATAAAATTAATATGTACAAGTTATGCACAATTATGATAGCTGTGTAAATAATATAACATTATAAATATTTAGGAACAGTCAACTTTTAAAATATGTTTTATTATAAAGATAGCAGGATGTTTGATACCTTGATTAATTTAACCAGTTATATTGTAGGGATATATAATCAACTACTTAAATTTCTTATCTTTGTCTACTTGAAATTGACATTATTAAAATTTAATTAAGCTAAAAAAAAAGAATGGGCTGTCTTACAGATACTAACCCAGAAGCTAATCTTTTCCTTCATTTTATCTGCTGCCTGTAGACAGCCTTAGAATGGGAAAGGGGCTGGTATAGTCCTTAAGTTTATTGCCTGTTTGTTGTTCTCATGGCACAGATACTACTGCTTTCTTGCTAATAAGAAGAATCTTTTAGAAGTGAAATCTCTCAAAGTAAAGCAATTAGTCTGGCAGTTACATTCTTTTACTCTCTCAATTAATCTTTCAATTTGTTCTCCTGCTTCAGTCAACATTAAGATAACATTTATCTTCTCTACTAATATCTCAGACACATAGTACTTGCTGACATCAAAGATATTTTGCTGATACTACAATGTTTTCGCATCAGTTTTTCCTCTTCCCACAAGCAAGATGAATAATGTTGAAATTTACCATCAAGAAAAATTGTAATTTTTTTAACTGGCAGTAAAAAATGTTATTATTGGCCCTATTTAATGAATCTAACCAGAAGCCTCATTAGTAGTGACTCCAGGAATGGATAATATATCATACAGAAGGGGCACCAGTTGTAAAATTTATATTGTCAGCAGTTTCTGCAAAAACAAAGGACAGTAATAATATATGTGATCGCAAGTGGTTAAAGTAATTAGAGGAGGCAATGACTACCTTTTGCTTCCTTCATATATTGGTGAATTAAATAAACATTAAATTAAAAAATTAAGAGCTTTTAATTTTGTTTTGTGGAAGTTATTAAATTAACATAATTATGGTGAAGATTCAGTAAAGTTCAAGGATTACTCTAGTTCAAGTTTGGTAATGTTACAGATGTTTTAGATTGAATTGTCACCAAAGAATATATAATATCTATTCTATAATTCCATATTAATAGGTTTTCAGTGGTAGTACCAAATACAAAATAAGGAAAAAATGTTTTTTCTCAGTCATTCTAGGTAATTGCTCTCAGTGCCCAGCTTGGGTCATATTCTTCTTAGAATCCATCCTTCCTTCCAGGCCCATCTCAGGCACCATTTCCTATGGGAAATCTTCCTTTATTGCCCCTAGTTGTTAGTACTCCCTTTCTCTCCTCATATTAAATTATATTTACTTATTTGTGTGTAGGGAATTGATCCTTTGAGTTCCATAATCAGTCTGATGAGGATACAGAGAAGCTGTAACTTTTGCATGGGTTCTTGTGTTGTAAAACTTTGATCAAAGGAGTTAATTCATTGGCCAATTTGAGCTCATAGGGAGGTAAAATTTTGTCTAGAACTTTCACTTCCATTTCTTTAAAGAGAATCTGGACATTCCCCACTTGGTACCTCCTAGAAGATGGTTTCAGGGATTGGAGCTTCACCCAAGATGAATTGGTTGGCTTGGAATCTTGAGAGGATGGATTCTTATCGGAGGAGCTATGCCTGTCTGTTGACCAATAAAAGGAATCTTTGTCAAAGACTGAATTTTTTTTACCTCTTCTGACTTTTCTTCTGGAAAGATTCTGAGATCATATGTGTGCATAGGAGTGGGAGGGTTCTTCCCGCTTCACTAAAGCCTTTCAGTAAAAACAAATGAAGAGCTGCATGTGCTTGTCCACATGGTTCAATAAGTTATTTCTTAGGCAGTATCAGATTCAATATCAGATCAGTATCAATTCCCTTGTAAGAAACCTCAGGTTTGTGGTTTCTGGAATCTGACCCTCTAGTCAAAGAAGGGGAATTTCCTAGGCAATATAATCCCATAATATAAGCTTCTAACCAGAAAAGGGTGATATCTTGGGCAGACTAGCTTTAGACTGGTCTTGCAAGTAATACCAAGTTACCACAGAGATCTAGCCTTTTATTCAGAGAAGGGGGACTTCTTGAGTATCATGACTCTTGAAAGGAAAAGAGAATTGCTCTTCTTCGCATACCCCTACCCTCCCTTGAGAAAGGGGTGTAGAAAGGGACTAAACCATGCCATAGATGAGAAAGCAAAAACCAAACAAACCCTG